CGTTCTGGAAAATAGACATTATTTCTTTTTCTAAGCTATTTCTTAAACCTTCTTTTACCACATTTAAAACAAAAGCCAAAGCATCATTATATCTCTTTTTTCAGCAATACTTAGAATTGTCAACCAGACAGTCAGTCAATCAGTCGGTCAGTCAGTTTCGGATCGCTGAGGTAGCAGCGTCACAAAATGTCTCCAACGTTGCGGATCCTGCGCCAGCACAAGAGAATCGACAGACGATGACGAATGGCAGCATTTAAAAACAAAGTACCTGTTTTTTAAATTCTTCAATTATCGGTAAAAACTAATTCGAGTAGTTTCGCTTGCTTCATCATGAAGCCAATGAGTATAGTTCTGTGAAGATGGAATAACGTTTCGTCCAAAAGCCATATGTAGTTGTAATAGAAAATCATAAAACCGTGTTCGCATTGTCCGCAAGAAAATGATTTGCTCTCCGTCTTTCAACTGGTTTCACGGAAGCGCAGCAGGTCGAATTAGTCGCTCAAAGATAGTAGCAGTAACGAAATGAAAATTCTGGATTTTGACCTACTGGTATCTCTAAAGTGGGAAACAACCTTCTAAGTCACCGCGAAGCGACCCTTTCCCCTTATAGCTGACCTTCCACTTCACCGTCCATTCTACATTCCATATGAATGACGAAACTTGTGCCTTCTTCCTTTAGCTGCTGATGAAGACACTCAGAGAGAAAGGCGAATGGGAATTCGTTATCAGCTCTCGCAGAGGCAAACGTAACTCGATGTAGAAGGCAGCAGCGACCGCAGGCGAATTCGTTTCACTTTACTGTTTAGATTGTGGTTACTAATCATCGTGCCTTCGACCGACTCGGGCAGACGTGAGTCACTTGAAGACGAAAAAATCTGATAAACCTGGGGCGATGTGCCGCCTAACGGACGAACGACAATTGGAGCAACGCAGAAGGCTGACGGCGTTTCGGATTTTTTGCCTATATTTATACAAGCATTGCGTTCCAAGCTTCTTTCGATGTATCATTTTTCATTTGCCTGTACGGTCGGCCAAAAATGCTCAAAACATACAAGTTCGCTTCGGACAAAACGTGTCGATGGATGACGAGCATAATTCGCGTAGCATAAGCCTAATCAACGTGATGATTAAGTTCACCGTCTTTCTAGAGCTGGTCATAATTTGTTTTAGGGTCTTCATTTCGACTTCTGGACTTGAAATCAGGGTGACCTTTAGACTTGCGGCGTATTTCAGATTCAACTGATGGACATGAGGAGATGTTTACAGTCTTGTACGGTTTATCCAAGCAACTGTAATTAATTGGTTCATTGCCTGATGCCTGTTCGATCGAAACGTCGAAATCATCGCAGAAAGGTTGTTTTTTTTCTTTCTTGTGCTGCTAGTAATAAAATTCTAAGAAGTATCAGCATCAGGCTATTCACCAGGGTGTGGATGTGAGCCTAGCAACTGCTTTGAAACGCCTGGACGTTTTCAAACTCACATGCCCTCTTCTTACCGCGATCTTAATAGAAGAAATCTTGTTCGATTAGGTATTAAAATTGTCGAGTAAAACTAAGTTCGAAAAGGGTTCAGAAGAATGGAAAGGCAAGGTGCGCTTTTCAATGCACAAGATGAGAAGAAATGCTTTAATTTCGCCAGTTGTTACATTTGTTGCTTGTAGTCAGTCTCTCTGGACAAAACATTTTTCTACCTCACACAATATCAGTGTTGAGCGTCCGGAAAATTAACTTTACTTAATTTACCATGAACAAAATGAGGTCAACTTTAAATTTTGGACCTACAATGCTTGCAAGATACTTTCAGTTCTAACTATTATCACAAAAAAAGAGATTTCAGAATTGCCTACAAATACTCTTCTTGACGTGCATTGCTTAGCATAATGTCTGTCAGCATTGATTGACACCGTTTCGTTGAAATGGGCACGTTATGCGACTTACTTTTGGTGTTATTCTCAGGCAATGTTTCTTCCATCCTGAGTTT